AAAACCTTGCCACGCAAACCCAGTACATCTTGCAACTATTATTCATGTGGAATTATATTGAAATGAGAATGCCTGCTGTTGAGCTGTGTGATTAAATACTAGTTACTTCTATCACTATATAGAAGTTACGGTCACACAAATTTTGAATAGTCCACATGTAACGTAACATAAGAAAAGCTTTTTACAGGCACTTCTCTTTAGATATGCCCAATAATTTTTGTCACTTACCAGAGTGGGATGAGTTTTCAAATTCTTGTGTTAAGTACAATACTAATAGTTTTAGGTGAGAGCTGTGTGCATGTGCAGTATCCATCTCTATAGCTTTATATTTAAATCTTCTGACCTCTATATTAAAATCTTCTGTGTGGTAACAGTTATTTGGTGGCTGAAGATTGCTAGAAATACTTCTGTGATTTGCAAGAGATGCATATATATGATTGAATAAGAGGGTGTTTGTGTGACCTCGTTATAAATCACTGACCTATCTGATTACTGCCTGTCATCTGAGCTGTGAAGGAGAATTGGATGTTCAGATTATAAACTAGTATTTTGTTTCTGCTCTGTATCTAGCATCAGGTGGATAGAGACTCATGCCATAACCTGGCCCATATTAGATGCTCAAAGGATCCCCTTTATTAAGGGCACTGTTCCTGGCTTGTCTGAGGAGATGTGGCTATGGAACAATTTCCATATGCTGTAGGATCATACTGAGCACCCAGATGTCTAATCTTTGTTAATTTTCTGATGAATAAATGACTTAGATTTTGGCAATTGTGCATAGATTTTAGAACCAGATTTATGACTGGCAGAGGAACTAATATGTTGCATGGTTTGCATTTTTTTTTTCTCAGGAGGTAATTCCTTATCATCTCTCCACATCTCCCATTCTGTCTGAGGGAACTGCTTTAATGGAAGCTCAGATGAAGAGGAACTCCATAGACAGGATAAGAAACCTGGACAGCAGTGCATCCTCACAAGTACCACCCCAAGCCCATGGATCACAGCCTTCTGCTGAAACATCACCAGTCTGTAGCTCTGTGAAAAAAAGGAGGAAAAAGAGGAGGAAGTCTACCCATAAAATAGACAGCTTAAAAAGAGAGGACAATGGAGACACATCAGAAGATGAAGACATGTTTCCTATAGAGATTAGCTCAGAGGAAGAAAAAGAACCATTGGACAATTCAAGGTATCACAGTGGAATTGAGAGAAAGAATGGAAACCTAATGCTGGGTTAATGTTCCATTCCATACCTTCTAACAGTAATTTCTATCTAAGTCAGTACGTATGGTTGATGAACATGTTTCTTTAAGAAAAACTTTTAAGCTAGAAAGCTGTTGAGAATGTTACTAACAAAACGCATGAAAATGACATTGAAAACATAAGAACAATCCTCCATCATGCTGTGAACTAGAAGGTGTGAATCAGACCATGTTTCTCTATCTCTTTTTAGTTCAGGTTATACTAATTCTTCTCTACAGTAGGATTTTTCTGTTACCTGGAGTATATGACCGTTCACTAATCACCTATGGATTTTAGATGTCACGTCGTTCCCTATACCTAGGATCCTCGTTCCAGATGTGTTTGTTGATGAAGTATCTGACATAAAGGCTCCTGCAGTTTCTACGTTTTCTCAGTCTGCATCTTACCCTCGTTCAGATGGAGAATGGTCACCTCTTCAAAGGTACTTTTTCTGGTAGTACAGTTCTGAATAACTTTCATTTAATATCTTACATGAAGTCCTACTAAAAATTTTGGTATCAGACATGATCACTGCCAACTACTAGGTGAATGCTTTCTATATTTGAAATCAGGCAGTATACAAAAACTTCAGGTTAGCTTTTTCCTTGATTCAGCAAATGCATGCATACAAATGCAGGTCCACAAATTCTGAAGAGTATTTGTATCTGTTCATGTCACTTTGCATATAAATACTGTAAGAGAGGGTAGATGTTTTGTGAAATCTGAGTCTTTGCCTGATACATACACCTTGTAAGGGCTTCAGTGAATGCAGGTATATAAATCTTTAGTACTTTGGGTGCAATCCTTTTAAGAACTAGCAAGATTGGAACTGATGTATAAAAAGAAGATTTTTTTTTTTAATGAATAAGAATATGAGCTTCTTGTGTCCCTTTCAATGCTGATCTGTTGGATTGCAGAGGTAGATAGACACGAAATATTTATTGTGTGAAAAGAACACATGCAGAACTTCGGTTACTTCTTCCTATATGTGTATTTGTGTGCAGATTGATTTGGACCTCATCTCTTGTGTCTGTGGAACACTGTAAAAATGGGACAATTTTTTATTTGATGTGTACTGCATTATAATTCCAGTGAAATCTGCATGTGTATCTGTGCACACGTGCCCCGCATCCTCCACGCAGACTATAGGAGTGGGGCAGTATTCACAAGACCTTATCCTAAGAAGGGTAATCTCAATAGACTGCCTCTGGAGTTGAGGGACAGAGAACAATGAAATGATTTCAGAGCAAGGGCTTAATTTGAACTGCATTCTGGAAGAAACTTTCTCCGCTGATTGGAGCTTAATGTGACTAGCTTCACTAGTCTGGTGATAGCGTGTGTCAGTACCCTGCCCGTTCGGTGGCTTTTTGAACTGTATGTTGTTTGTTGCTTGACTGCAGTATTCTGGATTTTGAAAATTCTAGATGTAAATTCAGCATTCATGTAGCTAATGCACAAAGAGCTTATGTTAATCAGCACTTGTGAATAATGATACCCTATTTTTCTTTCTACCAACATGCTGTGCTATCCAGTAAGCCTATAGATTGCACAGGGCAATCCTCTCTTCTCACTGTTCCAGCAGACGGAGGCCTATCTAACTCTTGTCCTCAACAATCTTCTCACTTTTCTCCTCCAGACAGGTAGAACAGTTGTCCTCCTTCTTTTCTGGGCTGCTCTTTAATCCTTTTAGCACATTAATACGCTTTTAACACATTAATTGTTGAATTTATGACTGCACTTACTGCTAACTCAGACACTTTGAAAGAAAGTGATATTGAAAAACCTCTTCCTCTGCTTACTTCTTTGTGGACATTGACTGGAGGTTAAGTTGCCTTGATGAATCATCCATTGAATGAGGGTGGCTAGTATAAAATCAGGCCAATGAAAACCTGGGTTAAAACTGAAGTTTATTAAGGCGGTAACAAAAAAAGGAAGAACTTAGCTAGTGAAAACTTACATTCCTCTGAAGATCAACATTTCTATGTGGCTTTTTATAATCAATGCATATTTTAAGGACATTTTTATCCCATGATTTCCTGAGTTGTTTGCTTGTGTGTAGGTTGCAAAAGTAAAAGCAAAACAAAGGCCTTGGAGAGTAAGTGAGCAATAAGGAGTGCAAAATTTGTAATGGGAGGAGCCCAGTACCAAGAGAGGACTTCTCTTCCCATGTTCCCTGGTTTGAGAGAGGGGAAGACTTTCTGTATGTTGGACTGCAGTGGGGGAGCATCTTCTAGCATAAAGGTGACACAGTAGATAAGGTGTCTTGCCTAAGGTTTAGGAGACCCAGAGTTAAGCCTTTGCTGTAGTCTAGGGTTCCTCTGACTGTGGACTCTTTTCCACAGAGCTGAAAGTGGATACAGACACTTTTTATGATGTCTTAAATTCAAGACGTCTCAAGATTCTGCAGCCAGGCCTTTTCTGTCCATTAAGTCAGTGAAGAGAAGTCACAGCAACTCAGTTAAAAAATTTAAAGTAGGTGTCTGAACATGACTTCTACCAACTCTCCATTAGGGCTGGGGAAGCTATGAGTAATAGATCAGGCTAAATTGCTCATTGCCTATCTCAACATAGATGCTGTACTATGTGCCTAAGGCTGTACTGAAACCGATAATCTTGAGGTTTTCTCAGCTGCTAGGTCTGCCCTCTTTAACCTGACCATGTTGCAGCACCAAGGCAAGGTGAGATCCTGGGACATTCAAGGCTGTTCTCCTCAGTGTTTTTCATGGGAAAGAAGGGCAGCACAGTGGCTGGGAAGGAACAGTGATGTGTTCTGGGTGGCTCCATGAACTTTGCTCTGGAGTTCACCTATCCTGCCATCTAGGAATACAGCTAAAGGGATGTGGTAACTTACCTGAGTAAGGCTCTCACTGTCTCTGCAAGTGTTTTCCTCTATGTGAAATAAGAAACTCTATTATGGCTGCCTCAGAGGAGGTTCAGAGGCTCTCAGCTATTGTGACATGTACATGAGGTAGGCCTCTTCTGACTATCTTTTCCCGGTTTATTTGGCCTCAGTCAAGACAGGACTTTTTTGCAGGTCACACTGCTGCTTTCTCAGGGCTGTCTTTGCTTTCAGTGGGAAACACTGTGAAGATCAGGGTGGTTTGCCATTGCAGAACTGCCAACTACAGGCCAAGTTCCTTATTGTTTGACATTGGATTACATTAAGTGCAGTCATAGCTGTTAGGGAATACGTAGGTCTGTGACACAAATATTCAGCATTTATGGGATGTGAAACAGATATGCTGATCTAAATGACTGAACTGAGGTTTCCCTTCCTTCTTGTACAGTGTTGACAGGATGGGTGGCTCTAGTTTGATCTGTAGTACCTGCAGCTATCTGTGTAAGGCAAGCGAATTTCAGCTGGGCTGGGTCAGTGCCTAACTTAAGGACAGGGGAATTGCAAGGCATAGTTCAGCCCAAGACAGATGTCTTGGTGGTGTAAGGAATTAACAACCCATTTTGAGTCTGATCCACAGATGCGCTTGCAGGATACTATCACTGGGTTGCAAATCCTATGTGGTCTTGGTATTTGGCCTTATTGACCCCCTAGCGCAAGTTTAACATTACTCCAGGGTTTAACTTGACCTAACACAGCTAAAAAAAAATCAAAGGAATGTGATTGTGAGCTTTATTATTCTTCAGTCTCATTTTACTTTGGTAGCAATAGTATGAAGTGAGTAGCAGCCAAAATAGTCTCAGTGCAGGCAAAGGAGATGACATCTAGCATTACCTATGGAAGCAGAACTATACAAACAGGACTGTAGTAGGCATAATTGCCATCTGCATCCCTAAACTACAGAGATTATTGTTGCTGTCCCAGAAGGATATTAGTTGGAGAGAGTAGCTATTGAGTGTGAAATGTCAACAATACGGCATATGAAGAAAAAAGTAAAAGTATCCAGCTCTTATCAGGAGGCCACCAACCCTGTATTAATGTTTGTAGGTGGCATAGAATATTCCAGTTTATGTTCCAGATGATATAAGGAATGAGAATGCTTTAGTGTCCTTTTATGCAAACAAAATTATCCCCTGTTTACCTTTTGGAGGTGTATTTACAGTATGATTTGATCTTGGGCCTTTTAAATTAAGATGACATTGCAACGATAATTCTCGTCTACACTGTGGTTGAATTAGCATTTATACACTAATCTACTAGGAGAAGTCAACCGAAAAGAATTCTGAAGATCTAACATTTTGTTACTGCTAAATCCTTATATATTATTTTATATAAAAGTATTATTTATAGAATAAGAATTAAGATGTCTCCATTGTGCTTGTATTGAAATTTCAGTAGATAGTGTATATTTTGTGTACTTTGTTTTGGGAGAGTGGGTAATATTTTGGGGGTTAGATGCTCACCCTGTTCCTAACTCACCATGATTATACTTGTAGCTATATCTGCTCTGAACCAATAACTCAGACGTGCATAGATTGTTGGGCAGCCTTTCACAGCAAGAGCCTTCTCTGAGCAGAACTCTGCTTGTTTTAACATACACATATATGCAAGTGCCATATTTCTGGCATTTGCATGTGTGTGTCTGGAAATATACGTCATGATTCTTGGTGCTGAGTAACAGCCTGGGCTTCTTCCCCACTCATTTATGTGTACAAGGGAACTGTATTTTCAGGGAAAATTATGGAAAAGGCAGGGTTCCCCCCTGCCCTGCCCCAATCAGTGTTCTCACTGCAAAATGCAGAGGTTCTAGTGCAAACTGAAGCAATGCCTGTGTTCTCTCAGGTCACCTGGCTGGGTAAGTGAACCGGGGATGAACATACCCCAAATCCCAGACTGGAGATTTTTCTAAGTAAACAGTAGGTATTTTGAAGGTTAAAATGTGTGTAGTGCACAGATTAACTTGTGCAGTGGCTACACTTCCTTAAATCTGGTTGTTTTGCGTTTAAAGCAGCAATAGAAGCATTATGGCCTGCTGAGATTTCCTGAAGTGCCCAGGCTCCTGATTTCCAAGGTGAAAGGCCCTAGGGTGGGCCCTAGGTACATGGAAAATACTGCAAATCCTACAAACTTGTCAGTGGGAGATGTAGAAGGTGCTGAAAATACCACCAGGCATTTCTTGAATCCTTAGAGCTTGAAAATACTTTCAAAATCACATTGTATTGATTCCTTCATCTGTCAAATTGTAGGTTATACCCTAAGGACTAATAAAAATTTGAAATTCTTAGAACCAAAAAAGATCTTCCAAAGTATTGCTTATAAATCTTATAGTTCGCAGAATCACAGAATCATTAAGGTTGGAAAGGACCTTCAAGATCATAAAGTCCAACCGTTAACCCAACACCACCATGCCCACTAAACCATGTCCCGAAGTGCCACATCCACACATTTTTTGAACACTTCCAGTGATGGTGACTCCACCACCTCCCTGGGCAGCCTGTTCCAATGCTTAACCACTCCTTCAGAGAAGACATTCTTCCTAATATCCAATCTAAACCTCCCCTGGCGCAACTTGAGGCCATTTCCTCTCGTCCTGTCACTAGTTACTTGGGAGAAGAGACCAGCACCCATGCCACCACAACCCCCTTTAGTTTAGTTAGATAATGTAATTATCTGTAGCTAAAAAGTCACAGTGTTTGTCCATATTCAAACTATATCTTACTGCAACATGGATGAAAACAAGGGATAACGTAGATAATTAGGTTGCTATTTTTTCAGTTGTGAAATTCACAGATTTTTAAAAGCTGCTTTGTGTTAGTGTGAAGTAGTTATTTGCCTGTCACCACTGAATTCCCTACCAGCTAGGTCTACAAAACTGCCTTACACTGAAAGAGCAAAACTGGTTTGCATATTCAGTTCATCCAGAAGAAAGTAAAGAATAAATCAAACATGAAAAATTTATACTAAATGTAGGAAGCCTTTTGTTTTTGAGAGTGACAGTAAGTCGGTTTGGGCCTTTGATTTAGGAATGTTGTGGATTGTTTTGTTGCTTTGTAGTTTTTAAATCAGGATTACATGAGTATACCAAAGACATGCTGCGGTTCAGACAAAAAATAATGGGCTTTGGTCAGGGTGTTCTAGGTGAAATTCTATGACTTGCGTTATGCAGAAAGGCAGAGAAGATAATCAGAATTTTTCCTTTTGTTCTTGAAATTATTGAATCCTTATTTATTAATGGCTGACTTGACATCACATTATTGACTTCACCACATTAAAAATGCGCCACAAACTGATAATTGACTAATTAATTATTAAATATATTACATTGAGTAGTCAGCAAAACAAACAGTTAAATATTTTTGCACTGGAAAGGTTCAAATTCTTTGTATCGCTCTCCTGCTGGTTTTCCTATAAGCATGCATCCAAGGGTAGAACTGAACAAGTTAGTAGAAGGAAGTAATCAACTGGATTCCTTAGACTTACTATTACTTACTCAGGATAAAGTGTCTTGTTGATGTGAGTCATTTCTGCACTTCACATCCATTATAACAATACTAACGTCTATTCATCTGCTGCTGCTGGTAATAACCTGGTTCATTCTTCCACACAGAAACCCCAGAATCCCCCAGAAGTGCTCAGGTCCAGTGCTTTTCTTCCATCTCTTGAGCTTCTCAAATACTGCTTCTGCGATGGCACTTACTAATAAATGGAGGAGACTGCAGAATGCCAGTCTGAGAGGATCCCAAACAGTTTAAACTGTTTTTCCATGCTTTCATACTTTCAATTGGCTGATAATTGTTTATATTTTCAGTGCTTTGGGTTGGTGGATATCAGTTTGGAAAGTGTGTAGTGCATTGTGGTTACTTTTGGTTTTGTAATATTTTTGTAATAATTCTGTTTGTTTGTTTGTTTGTTTGTTTTTCTTCAGCCCATCAGGTTCACGCCCTCCTACTCCTAAAAGTGACTCAGAATTAGTCAGTAAACCTATGGAGAGAAGTGGACTGAAGAATAATCCCCACATGCACTGGGCCTGGGGAGAGCTACCGCAGGCTGCAAAGGTATCCAATGACATTTGTTTAATTCCTCCTAGCATCTAATCTGTGCTTTAATAGAGCAAATGTGCTTATTCTG